GTTTCAAACACTGTTTTACTAGTTTCGGAGTGAAATCAATACCATGTGACCCAAAATGGCATCTGAACGTTTTAAACGTATGACTGACGTTTCTACTCAGTTAGTGTTTGTTTTAGTTCATTCACGCCCGTAACCATGTGAAAGTTTAGGGATAAAAGTTTTAACTACATTTCGACGTTGCGGTTTGTTGAATCAATAGTGAGTCACTCCATGATCTGGTTGGAAACTATATTACACTTGGCAACAAATGAAAAACGTAAGTAGCAAGTATGGTATCTAAAACATAGCACGTGTAGTCGTTCGATGATAGTGAGTTATGCATGATGTTTCGAACATCGTTTTACTAGTTTCGGAGTGAAATCGATACTCCGTAACCCAAAACGGCATCTGGTCATTTTAAAAAAATGGCAGACGTTTCTACTCACTTAATATTCGTTTCGGTTCATTCATGCCTATAACCACGAGAAAGTTCAGGGATGAAAGTTTTAACTACTTTTCGACATTGCGTTTGACATATTTGTTGAATCGATAGTAAGTCACTCCCTGATCCAGTTGGAAACTACACTACACTTGGCAAAAAAAGAAAAACGTAAGTAGCAAGTGTGGTATCCAAAATATAGCACGTGTAGTCGTTCAACGATAGTGAGTCATGTATGATGTTTCAAACAGTGTCTTACTAGTTTCGAGGTGAAATCGATATCTCGTGACCCAAAATGACATCTGATTGTTTTAAACGTATGACTGGCGTTTATACTCAGTTAGTATTTGTTTCGATTCATTCACGCCCATGACCACGTGAAAGTTCAAGGATGAAAGTTTTAACTACATTTCGACGTTACGATTTGTTGAATCGATAGTGAGTCACTCCATGATCTAGTTGGAAACTACACTACACTTGGCAACAAAACAAAAATGTTAGTAGCAAGTATGATATCCAAAATATAGCACGTGCAGTCTTTCAATGATAGTGAGTCAGACATGATGTTTCAAATACTGTTTTACTAGTTTCGTAGTGAAATTGATACCTCGTGACCAAAAACGAAATTTAATTGTTTTAAACGTATGATTGTCGTTTATGGTTTAAATTTTAGTGTAATTGTTCAACATCTACAAGTCTTATATGATGTTCGAAATGCTATTTTACTAGTTTTGGAGTTAATGAGACCCCTCAACCCAAAATGGCGTGTTGCTATTTAACACATAGAGATGCCATTTTCCACTTGTAATCGTTGAATATGTTATTATTTTACAAGTATGATTGTCGTTTAGGATATACAAAACATAGCACGTCCCCATTGAAATCAACCCATCAACTAAAATGGCGCCTGAATGTTTTAATCGTATGACTGTCTTTTTCTAATTCAGTGTTTAGTTCGCATCATTTTCGCTCATTCAGTCTTGACAAGTCATCTATGATATTCCAAGACTTGTTTTGTAGTGAAATCGACACCTTATGACTCACAAATGAAGATGGATCTCGAGGAGATGTAGAGGCATTAGGAGATTGGCAAGTTTGTTGAGGAAAGTCAGCACGAATGGACAAATCCGCCCCATTTACATTATCCACAAAGATATCAACTGTTGGATCCTCTATCTCATCACTGAATGGATGAATCTCCATCCAATATGCTTTAGAAGCCTCTTCTAGCGTAGGCTTAAGTGTGCAATGAACAACAATCTATATAAAAAATGAGAGGTACGCTTAGTTTTTAGAAAGTACACAACATATTTTAATCAACATTTAAAATATACTTACATTTGGTTCCTCCAGACTTGCACAAATATCCTTTGAGTTAGACATTTTAGAAGAATTCCATCGACATATCCTTGGGAGGTCATTGACGTATCCTTAAGAGGTCAGACTCCTCTAAATTGTTAGCATATCTCCATCCGATAGATGGTATGACTTCATAAGCCCAAATCTGCATAAGATTCACAATAATACAATCTAAATAGAATGAATAATAAATTGTAATTTTAAAAGAATTACCTGCCATGCGAGTGGAAATCCATAAACCGAATATGGATATTTCTCATTATTTATCAAGTATGACTTCACCAAGACTCTCCAGTCTCTCATGAATACATCAATTGTGCGGGCAAAAGCCTTTCTCCCCCAGGGATAACTATTAAAAGCCTCTAAGTCATCAATCATTGACGAGTGTTCTAAATTTATGTATGTGTAGTTTTCTTTGGCAATAATATCGTTTCCAAAATATATACAAGCCCAATATTGTACTTATCTTCCATGCTCACATTGAGATTTTCAATAGCTTCCTTCAAATTGTAAACAGTAATGCATTTATTATAATTTTTAAAGTGTTTCTTCCCAGTCTATC